TGTTCGTCTTGCAGGAGGAGAAAGTAATCGTTCGCGACGGTGGCGACGGCGTCTTGGATGATGGAGGGGTCGTAGAGCGTCTCGGTGAAGGTCTCCCGGCGGGGCAGGGGGTAGATGCACTTGAAGACGCCGCCGACCCCGACGTTCGGGCCCCCGGGCGCGCCCGGGAGAACCCGGCTCTCCTCCGCATTCGACGAGAGCAGGTCGTACCAGATGAGGTCGACATCCGTGCAGACTAAAACGCCACCGGGGCCGCAGGGCGCGGCGGGAACGCTCACCAGCCGATGCGCCGTCGGCGGAAGGTTCACGAGGTGCAGCCGCTGCACCTGCCGCAGGCTCGGAACGTACGCGTAGACGAGTAAAAACTTCCGACAAACGACCCCGCCTTCCCCCCCACTCCGCGCCGATGGAAGTTTCAGAAAAGCCCCTCCCGACGCGATGGACGCCTCCGAGGCTTTCTTCGCCGCCTCCTCGCCCGACGGCTCCTCGACGTCCTCGATGATTTCCTGCTCAAGCGCGGCGAACACGGCGTTCTCATCCATGAAGCCTTCCAAGGCGCAGATCGAGTGGATCACGGTGTTTCGATGCGTTTCGATGGGGTTCCCAAACCCGATCACCCCTTTCGGGGGCTCCACGCGCCGTCTCACCGTCTTTCGCCTTTCCTCGGGGGAGAGGAATTTCCTCGTGCCCCCGTCGTCGTCCAGGTGGCCGTCGCCGAGGGGATCAAACCCGTTGAGATCGTCGTTCCCGTCGGCGTCGTCGAGGGATTCGGCCCCCCCACCGCTCCCGCGTAGCTGCTGGGCGGTGGCGGAAAGTTTCGCGTTCGTGCGCTTCAGCGGGATCACGACTTTGTTTCGCATCAACGCGGAGATAAAAAGCGCCTCGCCACGGCTGTCGACGGTCATTCGAGCCCCTGGAACCGTCAGCCGCGCCCCTCCGCGGCCCAAACAATGCTCGCTGACTTTAATAAACCTCCCCCGTAAGGAGGTGGTGATGTAGAGACTGGTGTTTTCGTCCATTCCCGCGCTCTTCGCTTCCGCCGTGGCGGTGGGCAGGCGAGCCGGGATGGGAGGCTCGGCCAATTCGTAGCGCAGAAGCGTCAGATACCCCGTTTCACTCGTGATCGCGAGATAATGAACGAGATCCCGCTGCGCGCTATGGTTGATTGAGGATTGGGCGCCGAGTATGGAGCCGGAGGGGTCGGAGAACACGCCCGAATCGGATTTGTTTCTCGAGGCGCCATTCACTTTGGACGACAACGACCCCGCGGCGGAGCCGTAGGCGGCGTTTGCCGGCACCGCCACGGCCGCGTACACGTTCGCGAACAAAGGAACGCTGTGAAGGCATTCCATCGTCCCTCTCTCGGCGCGCAACGTCCAGAGCTCGAGGGTGGTGTGGCGTATAATCACAAGGTCCGGGGAATTCGGGAGGCTAAAGGAGCCCTGGACGGCATGCGTGACGTTCTGGGAAGAAATGATGGTCTGGTGGTATATTAACGTTCCATTATCGGCATCCCGGCAACTGCCCTGTGGAACGCGCTGCGCTTGAAGAGAACTTGCGGAAGGTGGTATGGACGAGCTCATTTTTTAGTTAACCCGCCGAGGTTTACCGTTTATTTATCTTCTAAGATTATTTTAAGGATCAATGAAATGGTAGTGATATTACCGTTATGATCTTTTTCCTCTGTTCCTCTAAAGACTATTAATTAACCCAGAGCAATGATCACGAAGAAAGCAATTGACGAATAAAATTTGAGAGATATTATATTTTTTTACAAGTATCGTCACTTTATGGGTCATGGGCAAACATTAGAGTTCAGTGTTCTCAAGGAAAAGGATATCGTATCCTCTTTCCCCTTATTAAACTCGATACTAGACTAAATAGGTGCCATAAACAGAATGACGAACAACGTTAAACCAAACCGTTGAGATCTAAATGAAATTGCTTTCCTTTAGAGATTCCATTTTTCACTGTACCCTAGAGACAATGAGGTCGCAACCCAAGAAGTTAGATCGCAAATTTCAGGTGCTGTTAGGCTCTCAATTATACGAAATACATCCCGAAAGCTACGCTCACTGTGCCTCAGACATAACACGCAAACATCGAAGGATTAGAAAGTCCTGTGGATGTGAACATTCCCTACACAGAGTCGCATGCAACCTCAAATTGATCGGTCGCAGTTACTTCTCTACAACACCTTCACCAAACCAACAACATCAATAGCCCCTCCTCACCCCCTCAAAGAAGGAGAAAAAAAAACACCAATAGTGGATACTTCCGAGCACCTACGGCACGACACGTGAAGGCTGGTGGGGAGGTACCGTATCCCAAGACTGTGGATAGCGTGGCCGTAGTCGAGAGCCGTACTCTTCTTCGTAGCTCACCGCCCTGCGCTGCCCTTCCGAAACCGGCAACGGACCTACCGCAGAAGGGAATTGAAGCTCATTTCGTAACTCCTGAATCCGCTCATACGAGTTGGCATGACGAGGGGCACGCAGCTGTTCGTTCATAACATAATTGCTCCCCTGAGGCGACCTTCTATCGTCGTCGACGGTACCATAAACATTAGAGCCGAAGAGATTTCTTCGATCCACGTAGCTAGGTCGGTCGTAGGTCTTTAATGTGTAATACGGCAGCCGAAGAAGAGCTTCGTTCATTTCAACTGTATCACGTTTTAACCACTGATCATGACGCGCATAAATAGGGAGCACGTGAAGGAGTTCACGCCACGCAGTGCGGTACCTCAATAAGAACACTGATCCTCTAATCATGAGACCAAAAAAAAGATAATTAGAAAATATTTCCTTGATCTAGAGAGCTCTCCGGTGGTCGAGGAGGTTCTCCAAATAGCCCTCTTGTTACCTATACTCACCTTTTCCTCCCTTGTGCGAAAGGTCGTCCCGTACTATTTTTACATAGAAGCACACCAAAAAGGAAGAAAACAAGATTCACATAATGGTGTAATCCTATCAATGTAAATTCATATTGCGACCCAGTCCGCGCTTGTCGATCCGTTTCACCAAGAATCATTCACATAAACTTTTTGGAATTATTCGTGAATAAAAGCAGCAAAAAAGCTCTATCATTTTATTTTATTCGCTTTCACCATATAAAATGGGCAAAATGCACTTCATATACCATGCATCGTATTTTTAGTCGCAAAAGTTGCATTCCAAGTAATGTAGAAGGAATGAGGAAACCCAGAGATCACTAAACATAAACATTCGATACAAACAGCAAGAAAAATACTCGCTATATAAATAGATATATATACACAAATATAAATATTTATTTATTTACAATCATTTCATTCTATCGTAGCGATCACGTATCACTAATTAAGGGGAAAAAGAAACAACCAACCATGCCCACTTTAGCTTAGGCCATCTCCTACAGGGAAATAAGAAGTTCAGCAATACACCTCACTATTATCACTTTCATTATGGTTTGAAAAAATTAGTAGAGAAAAAATGCAAGATAACCATCAGAATTTTGGTGGTCGTTTGACTCCACACACACACACACACATCTTCCTTTTATAGGTGGCACCTTGAAAATGAAAGAGATAAGCGCAGTTGGAACAAACAGTAACTGTATGAATCATTCTAGCTATGAGATACACGCAAATAGGGGAAAAAAACTAAAACGTAGCATCCCATAAAGTTATGAGGGTCTGCCTCATATCCCCCCCCCCCCCTCCCTCATTCCCCTCCTCCTTCTCCTCTTGTCTATGCAGATTGTAGAACACGAAAATGGAGAATCAAACGAGGAGGGGAGAGGGAAGAAGGGAAGGGAGAAAACAATAATAATAATATGACTTACTAATAATCATTTTCCCCGTTTCTTCACCGTCGAATCGGGCGAATCCCTTTTGGCTTCGCGACCGTAGTCGCGCACTTCGGGATATGCCGTGCGGCGACCTCCTCCGCGAACTTCCGTCCGCAGTGCGGGCAGGGCACACGGTCGTCAAACTCCGGCGGCAACGCCGCGTAGCCGCCACCGCCGCCGCCGTTTCTGCTAAAATTATCCTTTCCCCCACCCGGCGCACCGCCTTTCTGCTGATGCACCGCCCGCATGGCGGCCTGAAACTGCTCGTGTTGGATTTTCCACTTGGGGATCTTATTCGGGTTCGCCGCCGCCGCCGCATGAGAGGTCCTCGTCGCCGCGTAGCTATTCCCCGTCGGTCGGAGCAGCTCGGCCCCTTCCACCCCTTCCAGCCGCTGCGCTTTCATGTTGAAAACCTTTCGCGGTTTGTTCGCTTGCTTCCGACAAAGCGGCTCATGGCGGGGGAGGATGGAAAGGCGGAAGGTGCGACCGCAAATCGCGCACTCCCGGGTGGGCTCCCGCGCCGCCGCGGAGGCCTCCGCTGCGATGAGGTCGTTCCCCCCCCCGAGCCCACTCACCGCCGCGATGTCGTCGTTGCTGTCGAAGTGATTACTCATCGCCTTCGGATTTCGACTTGGGTGATTGCAGTTGTGGCTGTTGCTGCTATTCGAGTTTGATGCGGCGGCACGGCCGGCCTCTTTTCGTTTTCGCGCCGGCGCCGCCCCTGCCACGATCGCCTTGAGGTTGTAGCCCCCATTGGGATTCCCTTTGGGGTGGATGGGGACGTCGTCGAGGTTGAGTGGCGCCGCCGGGTAGCTATTCCCGCCCCACATCGCCCCGCCCTCCTCCCGCGCGTTTTCAGACTCCTCGTTGCTCTGCCGCGAGGGAGGCCGCGGGGGATGGGAAGACGGAGAGGGATGCGGCGAGTATTGAAGCTGCGGTTGGCGGTGATTTTTATTCGCACCACCCGACGGCTGCGATTTCGACGGGGCTCCCGCCTTTTGGGCGGCAATCCGCGCAGCGAGCAGCTTCGTCATACCGGCTGTTCGCGGCACGGGATCGTTCCCACCACTTTCCCCACCTTCGAAGCCGTCCACATTCACGTCCGAATTCCAGTCGGGCTTCTTCTTCGCGTGGTTATTGGTCGCCATCTTCGACTTGACGGCGGGCGCCCTCTTGTCGTACGCGCCGCGAAAATCCATCTCCTCCTCCTCGTCGCGAATCAGGGGGGCCTGTGGTTTGTTGTAGCACCCCTCTAGGCTATCCTCCTCATCGCTGTAATGGTGGTGTGCGGGATGGTGGCGCGGATTCGGTTCATCGCTGAGAGGGCGATGCTCCGAACCGGAAGCGTGCTGCTCCTGCCGCATTTGTTTCTTAAAGTACGCGATACTCTGGCGAAGCGACTCCAACGATATGCTTCCACCGAATGCGAACTTGCCCTCTACATTTTTATCACTCCCGTGGGAATTCTTTTTTGTTGAATTCATGAAGCCACGCTTGTTTAAGGTGGAGTCCACATCGGATGGGCTGCCCTGGGAGCTCGAAAGCGCCAGTAAGCTCGCTACGGTGGTCGAGAAGCATCCCGTGTTGAGGCTTTCCCGGCTGGATGGCGCGACGCGAATGAGCTGATTCGATAGCATCGCCCACAGCTGCCGCGCCTGATCAGGGGTAATAATGCCTGCCTTAGTTGCCTCCTTGAAGTCCTCCTCCGCGACCTGCAGTACTAACGAGCTCGACGCCGATCTATCCGCTTCGATTTTGTCAATCCCGCTCGCCATGGGCGGGGGTTTATACGCTATGGACGGCGCGCCCAGGACGTCCTTGGCTTTTGCACCCATGCCACCCCCATCACGCGTGCCCTGCTGGTGAAGGCGTTCTTCTCGGATTTTTTTGGCTAATTCGATCTGCAGCTGCCGTTTGGCTGCATACTCTTGGACGAAGTCCGTTGCAGGCGTCCGCTGCTGATTCTGTTGCTGAACTCCAGGTCTCATAGATGCAAACGCACACAGGCACACAAGAAAGAAAAGAAATAAACTTGTGATGAAATGTGGTGGTAAATAAAAACGGTTAACTAATTTATTGATGTATTGACACAACCCACGCGCGGGAACTTGTCCTCCTTTACAGTTAGTGAATAATATCTAATTTTATCAAAGGCAAATCTATAAGAACACTTTCCACAATACCGATAAAATAAAATGAAGTAGTAAAGGCACTTTTATGTGAAAAGTAGTTTAGACGTGTTCGTTATGTAACGGAGAAGTAGAAATTGCCAATGCTATTTCATCAGAGTGAAAGTAGTGTAAATTTAAATAAACAAACAAAAAAACACAAACATCAAGAAGTGTTTGTCTAAGAATAACAATAAAAGAGAAATTTGAGATTATTATGTAAACTTTTGGTTTCACATGTATACGTGAGAATATATGTTAATATAAGAGGTAATCCATTAGATTCAACCGCGACAATTGGCTCTTCCCTACGAAGCTTCAAAATATATTTAGCAGCAAAGCGGTCTATTCAATTTGTTGACGCTGTAAAGATGCCCTTCGCTTTATCAAATCATCCCTTGCTTGCTTTAAAGGAACTTATAGAAAACAAACGTTTAGGTAAGTTGTGGCGCGGAAAAGTAGGAGTCAGATCTATAGGATGAAGCCTTATATAAAAATTTATTCATATATATTACTGCACAATTGTTATCAAATTTCATAATTGCACCCATATTTGATGAAGAGTAGCTTCAGTCCATGATCTCTTTAAATGCACTAGTAAAGGTGGAATAATTGAACACCAAACAGCTCGTGTTTCATTTGAGCATTTTTCCTAAGAGATGAAAAATTTCTGAATTAAGGTCAAAAAAGCGTTGAGTTCTATGGTGTCGCACCATTCGCTTCGATATTGTCGTACCTAACGTCTTCTTGCAATATTGAGACTAAAATTTCAGTTACGCTACTCTCCTCGGGGGTTTGATATTCTTTACTCTCCTAACCAGTTTGGAGTCTGGGAGCCCTATATAACATTGTTAGATACTGCAAGTACTGCTAGGGTTGCAATGACATTTGTTTTCCTAAACCTCAAATGTGGTGCAAAAACGACTTCATAAAAGAGTAGAAATACAAGTCAAAGAATTCAAGGAAGGGATGCTGGTTAACATTGGAAATCGGGGGAGGACAAGAGTTCATTGTGTACTTGAGGTTTAAAGCGCATGTTGGCTTATCTAGGAAACATAGCCCGAAATACGATTTGTTAGAAGCTCCAATTATTTATAATAATAAATCAAGTATCAACGTTTTATTAATTATTTTTTTCAACGAACAGATATATTTCATGCAAAATAAATTTACCTTAACACTTAGGATATCAAAAAGAAAGGAAAAAACGAAGATAAAAAACACCGAACACCACACACACACAGACATATAGCTATATATATATATATATATATATATAATATAGATAGTTACGTTTATTAGAAGTGTGTGGGCTTACGAATTTCCACGCACACCCGAGTGTCACAGGCACGCGGCCCAACGTGGGTTAACGGGAAGGGGCTCCCCGTCTAAGGGGCGTAGCTGGGGAACTTCTCGCGGAGCAGCGGCGCCAGGCGTTCCTTCTGGGCCTTAGGGACGTGCTCTGGCGCGGTCACGAGGGCGTGCTCGAGGGCGTGATGCGCGGGGTCGTCCACGGAAGCCCCTTTGAGCGCGGCGACGACCGCGGACGGGATCCGCTCCGCCTTCGCGGTGTTGAGGGCCATCACCTTAACGATGCCCTCCAGCCCAACGTGCGGGGCGTCGTCCCAGGCGTCCATGTCCGTCACCATCGCGACGACGACGTAGGCCATCTCCGCCTCCCGCGCGAGCCGGGCCTCCGGGCAGGAGGTCATCCCAATTAGGTGCCCGCCGGAGTGCTTGTGGGAGAGCGACTCCGCCCGCGTGCTGAAGGTGGGCCCCTCAATCACCACCAGCGTCGACGCGGCGTGCACGCGGAACGACACGCCCTCCTTCCTCGGGGAGGCAGGGTTCTCGGCGAATTCCACGTTCTCCTGCGCGAAGCACCCCTTCAGCGCGTTGTAGGTGATCCGAGAGAGCTCGACGGAGGTCGGGCTGGCAAACTCGACGTGTGCGACCAAGCCGTTGCCAAAGAAGGTGGACTCACGCTTCACCGTGCGGTCGATGAACTGGCTGACGAGCGCGAGGTCGCCCGGGCGGTAGTTCGCGTCAAGCGAGCCAACAGTGTTGATCGTGAATAGATTCCGCACACCGAGCTGTTTCAGCGCGCAGATATTGGCGCGGTAATTCACCTCTGACGGAAGAAAGGTGTGGTGGATGCCGTGGCGAGCGAGGAACGCACACCAGACGCCTTCGATTTTCGCCACGCAAATTGGGCAGCTTGGCTTGCCAAACGGCGTTTCGATATCATAATAGCGTGGCTCCTGCATACAGCTGAGCTTGTAAACTCCACTGCCACCAATAAAGCCGAAGACCACGGGCTCCGAGTGAGGGTTGGTGTAGCTCATTATGGAAGAATAAAAAGAAAATAAATACTTAGAAACTGGTAAAGATCGGCTAAAAGCTTTGTGTAAATTTAATTTAGTGAGGCAATTTTGATATTTTTTCGAAAGAACACTCTGAGTTGATACTGAAAACAACTGCACTAAGTTCATGATCTACCTTCCCACCCAAAGGTTGGAATGTCAAATGGTGGAAATGACATCAACACATTTTTTCTTCTTTTACACGACGCATTTCATGCAAGAGTTTATAATCTTAGGCTAATATTACTCGATGTCGATTACCCAACATTACGTTATCCACATTTCTTTCTGTTCCCCTCTCCGAAAAAAGGTACACGAGAACAGGGGTAAAAAATCATACGTTAGATTAATATGGTCCCATTATTCTTATTCTCGCTCCACTCTTCTCCTCCCCTCACACATACAAAAAAAAAGGAGGGGAGAAAAACTTTAAACTGGCGTGCATCCATTCGTACGTTTGCGCGTGGACATACTCAATGTTTACGCAAATCACGTATATGTTGTGCTTTGTATTCTAAAAATCCAACAAGATTCTCCTCTATCTCCTGCCACTGCTCGAAGTCCTCTGGCTCCGCTACAATCTGATAATTTCTCTTCCAAAACTTACTAATCATCAAACGCTGCTTGATATACTCACGCAGCTGCACGAGAAATATGGAAAGCTTTTGGTGAACTCCCTGCGGGATGTACACCTCGATATCATAGCGTTCATCGAGGAAGAAATCCATCAACGCATTCGCAGCCTCCACGCGCGCGCTGACGATGCCGTCAACGGCAAAAAGGCGCTGCAGCCACGCCCTCCGCTCCGCCGGATTCGCAAGATGCGACGTTCCCGAGAGCGCCATACCGCCGTCAAGCTGAAGAAGCGAAGAAGGGGCGGTTGCAGCGCTGTCATTTCCGTAGCTCGCTAAAATCGCAAGCGCAAAGGAGGCGCCTACCAAAGTCGCCTCCACTTCTCCGAACGACACACAGAGCAGCCCTATCGCACCTACGCAAGCCTGAGTTAAGGTCGGCATGCAGACCAGCGGTTGCGCCTCTTTCTTTCCGACTTTGCTCACCCCTCCCCCCTCCCGCCGTTCCCACGCAAGGCGGATGAGGAGGTCGACGTCGCTTTTTCCCGCATGGAGCTGCTGGTTGGAGCCGTGCAGAACGCCACCCCGTGCCTTGGCCTGCTTTCGCTGCAGCGTCCAGAGCATCTGAACGAGTGATTCAAGCTGCAGCCAAAGCAGCTGGCGGGCGGAGGCAGATTCCGCGGCGATGCTTGATGGCGGCAAGGCAGTTTCATCATCGGAAGCCGTGGCAGCGCTAAGAAGGACGTAGCGCTGCTCCACCGCGCGGAGAATCGCTGACCAAACCTGTGAGGGATCGCCTAAACTCTCCACCGGCACCATCAGGAGCAGCAAACTCGCCACATTCCAGACGGTAACTTCCATCGACAAGATCAAAAACTGCATTGTGGTAACCTCCGCGTTCTCCTTAGCGACTTCACGCAGAAGATGCTGCTCGCGCCGCTGCATGACGTCAGGATCGGGGCTGTCGGCCCCGCTGGGCCGCTCACGCGCCGAGAGCCAAAGCATATCCTGCAGGACCAGCCCGAAGGCGTGCAGCCCCCCGCCCTCGCGCAGGATCCCCGCGTGGGGGTTCTGCGCGAACGCGACCTCGTCGTCCAGGTCGGGCGGGTTCCCCCCGCAGATGGCCTCCGTTAGGGTCTGAAACACGCGCACGGCGAG